TCGAACACTGCAATTCTCACAATGGGAGTTTCGCGGGGTTGTAAGGCCCGTTTACGCGAATGCGACAATATTGCTGGGATGTGGTCTACTCTAAATTAACCCCTTCCCGCATTTTCACGAGTCTAAACATTTTTCTAAATATAGCTTTAAAATTGTCATCTATTATAAAACATAATTTATTTATAATATTTATAAAAGAAAAAAGGATTAGAGTTTAATTTCACAATAGTAGTATCGCGTGAAACTGAATATATCACGCGTTGACGCCTATGGTTTAGGCCCGGATTTCGTCGAGCTAATTGGTACGGGAAGGGGTTAATCGAACTGGACCTGTTTAGGTATGAAACTAAAGAGTTCCGATGCGTGACTATCTCTGTCGCTCAGATGATCGTCATGGGTCTGTCTTGATTGTCCGATCGTGATGCTTGTTTGTCTACTTAGGATTTTTAGAATTCTCTTGGTGACTACCATCTCGATGGTTTTATAAATTCGTATGTCTACCGATTGGTTGGTGTGTGTCTTCCTATTGGTTGCGAATAATATTGGGGGTATGTGTTAGTTCCGACGTATTTTGGTGGTGGTGGATATTTAAACAATTTGTGTTCTTATCGTCTTAAGGGTGTTTTATTGACCCTTGCTAAGGTTCACCAAAGTGGTGACCAGGTGACGAGTGCTCAATTTTAAGTCAAGAAACTTAACTTAACTTAGGACGTGCAGTCTTAGGGCCGTAACAATTGAAGAGCTTTTACCCTCCGTTTGTAACGTAACAGAAACTACCCCCAATGGAGATACTCCGAGCCAGGACCCTGCTAACACGATGACAATGTTTCGCGAATACTTAATTATTGAATCACTGTGCAGCGAGTAGGTACCGAGAGAACGTAGATACTTAATTCAGCAACTCGCGATGACGCTAACGCGGAGTACTTCGATTTAAAATACAAATCTCCCGGAGCCATTTGCTCGGAGACATTCTCAAAGAGTGCTTAATCAAAGAGCCTGCTCCAATTACCGTACAATTACAAATCTTGACTTCCATTTCGAATTCAAAGACAGCGTTGAATCTCGCAATTTCCAACGCCTCGGCGTTAAAATCTGGTGTTTCCCCGTCAGGACTAATCCCTTTAACCCAAGAATTACTTCCTTACGCGAACAAAGCTTCCGGAAGGAAGGACACGCGAACGTTAGCGCGGCTTTATGGCGATTAAATTATGCGCTAATACGACGTGATTGGACAACCGCGAGCGGCGAATTCAAACGCTCGAAACTGGCTATTTAAGCGTAAAAGGATTTCGAAGAACGTTCACGGTGGAAGGTTAGCCTTGGTTAAATCTCATTACGTCGGTACGCTAATAAAGTTCCTTCTCCTCGAGTCGGTGGCCGTTTGTCTCCCAGCGTCTGCCACGCCTCGTCGTCTTCCGGGTTCTTTATGTTTCCATTATTGCCGATTACTTTAAAGCGTCTTGATAAACGGGAACGTTCGGGACGACGATCCCCGTTCGTGAATTTAATCGAATTACCGCTCGATTTCGATTGCACCGTCGATATGGCTCATCGATGCGCGTGGCCATTGCAATTTCATCCCGTTTCCTCGATGGGACGCTTCGAAATCGTCTCCAAGATTTATCGACGCCTTCTGCATCTTCTCCTTTCCTTCCAGCCGCCTGGGAGGGGTTACTTTTTGGAATAATTTAGTCACTCTCGAGCCCATGTCAGAGATAATATCTTTTTTCAGCTAGAATACATTTTTATAATATTTTACTGCCATTAAAATTTACTATTTCGAGCGATTTTATTCCGAACGATTTGTGGACGTAGTACGTGTCACGGCCGATTAAGAGACGTTCATTAATGTCGGTAACGCAGCATCGCGTCAACCGCTAAATTCCTCCAAATTTGATTTTATCTATTATTCACACGGTAAAGTAGCGAGAAGTACTGTCAACTTAACCGGTTCCACGCGAAGCTGTCGTTAGCTTTAAAAGTCGAATTCCACGAGACTCGACCACCCCGTGCGGAGTTAGTTAGGCGAAGAATTTTAGAGGGAAGTTCCTCCGTAGCGAATCCGACGATAAAGCTGACAGCACCCGGCCGATCCATCAAGATCGCGCGCGAAATGCAGTCAATCTATCAAACGTCATGCAATATAACCGCTTCCGCGAATGCAGATTCCAACTGTTACTAGCCAGACCGTACAACGTTCTGCTCTTCGTCTACGTTGATCGTTCGTGGAACCTCGTCTTTAACGAGTACGTTAAAGAATACCTGAAAATCAAAGAATCGCGCGTCAATGTCCGAATTTAGCCGAAATTCGCAAACAAAGGCATAGCAATCCCAGCGAAACGTTTGCCGCGAAACGTCACTGGCAAATGCCTAATTAAAATCGTCAGAGATCAACATTGTCGAGTAATTTCTCACTCCCGGTAGCTAAACCGCACCGGTAGCGATCAACTCGTGCCCGAAGCGAGTGCTGCGAGCTGCAGGGTGCATAATCGTAGAACGGCAGAGACACGCGTGCTGTCGAAAATTCGGTGGTCCCGATGATCGACGTTGTCGTTGCATTAACGTGGCGACATGCAGCAGCGGTCGCATCGCGATCGATAGCTGTACCTGCTCGCAGAGAATACACCATTACGAATTAAACTCGCTTTCTCTGTCTCTCTCTCTCTCTCCTTGCTCCGGCGGTCCACAGACCACAATGATCTTCTTACGCGTGCATGGTGTGGGTGACGTATCGATCGCGGCCGGAAAGTGTGTCAACTGCGCTTCACGCGGCGAATAGGGCAAATCTTCATCTCCCTTTTCCGCCATTCCGTCACCGATACGAGCTTGCACGCTTCTTAAGACCGTGCACACCTTTGCTCTTACACCCCCTCGCCCGGCTGTCTCGCGTCCTGAGCGCAAAAGAAGAAGCCACCCCACGCGTTGCATTATTCATAAAACCACGGGCGACGCTGGCTTATTGCGCCATGGAGCCCGCAACGATAGGGATTTGAATAAATTCGGTTAGGTGTATCCAGCGACGTATCCATTTCGCCGGGAAATTCATCGCCCCCTGCGTGCGTCCGCCGCGCTGTCGCTAATATCGGATGCATTGTAAGGAAATTGTTTGCCCTTCTCGTCCCTTGTCCCGAACCGGGATCACCGCTGACCCTTGTACCCCCTGGGAACCGGCCCAATTTCTATGCATGGATCTTCTTTCTTTCGGACCTACGCCCGCGATTCACGACGCTTCGTCTTCGCTCGGAATTATACAAGCGTTTCTCAGAGGCTGGCCGGAATAATTCCTCTGCATCTGGGATACCGCAACTTTCGACGGACTTCCGTGCAAAGGGTGGAATTTTTGCCCGGGTATGAGGCGCGCTATGCGAGAAGAATGTCGGAATTTTTCTGGATACCAAAATGGTGGCGGGAAAACATATTTAGCCTTGACGAAGTGTCAGAGTGTGAGGACCCCAATTTTTACGCGGGTACGACGCGCTGTGCGAGAAGAATGCCGGAATTTTCCTGGATACCAAAATGGTGGCGGGAAGACGTATTTAGACTGGACGAAATGTCAGAGGCGCGAACGAAGAGTGTCTGTGTGGGGGTCCCCGTAGGGGTTTATGTTGGGAATTTCGTGAAGGAAATGGCCAAATGACTAACGTGCAAGGAAATAACTGTATTCAATTATACAGCAATTGTATTTGTAAAGGTTTAATATACGTGAAATTTATACACTTTATGCAATATACAAACAAAACATGAGAGTCTCTTTTAATGCCACTATGGGTCACAATATATAAAGTATCTGTACTGTTCCTGATCCGACAGTGAAGAGCTCCGAGGGACAGCAGGCCCTTTTAACACGTTCGTCACCGCGTCATCCATATCTGGGTGACGAGTATACTTCCGTGGGGACCCCGTCACCCGAATATGGGTGATATTTTCAGCTGGATTTTTAAAAGGAATATAATAGAATAAGCACTGAATTATAAATATAGGATATACAACATAAAAATATGAAAGCTATACACATTATACTATACTTTTTATTAATTTATATTTAGGATAGAATATTACATTATACTATGTCGCGTGGTATTCGCTAAAACAGTCTAAACACATTTAAGGCGATTTTGGACAATTGGAACAATAGGTAGTAGTGTTTTTACATTTTTCGTAATTGTCTGTCAATATGTTTATGACTGATAAAACCTTACCAAGTCTGCTACTCTGTTCTATCGTTTGGTTATTTGCAAAATGCAAATTTGCTGATAGTAATTCAAAACGATTACAGGAAATGGAAAATTGTAAATAGGGTTCATTGACCAACATCTAACGAGCGGTGTCTGCACTAGACCCATCCAAATCATCAGCCTGATAACGTTCTAGCGCTGAGGCAGTAGGATTTGGGCCCTACGAGAAACTCAATCGAATCACGCTGGACGTTAAACCCCCAAAACCGACCCCTTGATGTCCAAAGGTCGGTATTGGCCTGCAACCTCTAACAGGCCTGTCGTCATCGTTGCCTAGGCGTAGCTGACTTCCAACAGTTTATGGTTGGAGGCTTGTGGTTCCTACGGGGCTGGCTGTTGGTATCCTGATGATTATCGTCATATTATCATATGTAACAGATAGAAGGACACAAAGAAAGGATGTATTTCGTCCTGGACCTGCT